GTATAAACTCCGATCTTAGTTAATCCATGTACCTGTTGTATAAACACCGATCTTAGTTAATCCATGTACCTGTTGTATAAACTCCGATCTTAGTTAATCCATGTACCTGTTGTATAAACACCAGTCTTAGTTAATCCATGTACCTGTTGTATAAACACCGATCTTAGTTAATCCATGTACCTGTTGTATAAACACCAGTATTAGTTAATCCATGTACCTGTTGTATAAACACCGATGTTAGTTAATCCATGTACCTGTTGTATAAACACTGGTATTAGTTAATCCAAGTACCTGTTGTATAAACACCGATCTTAGTTAATCCATGTACCTGTTGTATAAACACCGATCTTAGTTAATCCATGTACCTGTTGTATAAACACCGATCTTAGTTAATCCAAGTACCTGTTGTATAAACATAAGTCTCAGATTGGAAGCTCTAACATTTGGTGCCATGGTCAGCCGCCTATTTTATCTCTGCTTAACGCCTGCCGGACCAGAATGAAGAGTTAATAATATGAAATTATAGTTAATAACTTTTCCAAAGTAAAACGACAAGAATTACGAGCTTAAAATTCCACCAAATTAAATCCATGCAAAAACATAAAAATGAATGGAAAAATGAACAAATCAGTATCAGCTAGTCACTTAACCAGTTTTAAAACGATGCTAGTGGTGTCGTGATGTTTTTTGTTGTTGTTGTTTTTTCCCGTCATTTAAGATGTGAGCCGCCGCCATTTTGTTTTTTAAATGATTAGTGAAAAGTGTTTATTCACAAGTGTGAGTATTTTGTAAAAAACACGCATAATACATACATACATCTGTAGTATTTATCCGACTACAATGACCTAACCCTACTCGGGTTGTTTATAGTGCTTATTTTTAGTATATTTATTTAAGATACCTGTGTTAACCTTCTTATAACAGAAACTTGAACGCATCAACTTAACAGAAAAGTTTATTTATTTTTTTCTCTGTACTAGCGAAGTTGTTGAATAACTTGTATGAATAAGGAAACTAAGATAAAATAAACTTCGTTATTCCTAGAGACAAGTCTATAAGTCTTATTTTTTTCGAGTGTGTATGTGAGTTATTTTGTTTTAAAAATAATTCTTTGGTTACACCAGAAAAGGTTTCATGAAACCTCTTTTTTATCCATTAATTACTACCGTGAAACCCCTTTTTTTATCCAATAATTACTACCGTGAAACCTCTATTTTTTATCCAATAATTACTACCGGGTAAAAATGGGGTTTCACGGTAGTAATTATTGGATAAAAAAGGGGTTTCACGGTAGTAATTATTGGATTTAAAAAAGGTTTCAAGGTAATAATTATCGGATAAAATGAACTACGCTTCGGAGTGATCGGTATTCTGATCTAGTAGCTTTTCTAGTCGATTATCTTATGTTTCTTGACGTTTCTCACAATTGTTTCACTAGTTAAACATTTTTGAAGCATTTTAACCAGCTTGTAAGTTGTTTTTTTAATATTATTATTTTAATATGGATTTTTTCCACTTGTACCTTTTTTATTTGTCGGAGATCGAATGAATTTTAAGGATTACTTCAGAATCAGCTAAGCGTTTCGGATAACCCCCCAGTGGCTCAGCAGTAAGTACGAGGTCACAGCGCAGATAGCTCATTGTGTAGCAATCGTTTCGAACGTAGATAATTCGTGGAAATGGTGATTATGAGAGGGATTAATATAATTTGTGGAAGTGGTGATTATGAGAGGGATTAATATAATTCGTGGAAATGGTGATTATGAGAGGGATTAATATAATTTGTGGAAATGATGATTATGAGAGGGATTAATATAATTTGTGGAAATGATGATTATGAGAGGGATTAATATAATTTGTGGAAATGATGATTATGAGAGGGATTAATATAATTTGTGGAAATGGTGATTATGAGAGGGATTAATATAATTTGTGGAAATGATGATTATGAGAGGAATTAATATAATTCGTGGAAATGGTGATTATGAGAGGGATTAATATAATTAGTGGAAATGATTATGAGAGGGATTAATATAATTAGTGGAAATGATGATTATGAGAGGGATTAATATAATTTTTGGAAATGATGATTATGAGAGGGATTAATATAATTAGTGGAAATGATGATTATGAGAGGGATTAATATAATTTGTGGAAATGGTGATTATGAGAGGGATTAATATAATTTGTGGAAATGGTGATTATGAGAGGGATTAGTATAATTTGTGGAAATGATTATGAGAGGGATTAATATAATTCGTGGAAATGGTGATTATCCGATAGATTATGATATTTTGTGGAAATAATAATTTTATGGTGGATTACTCTCTTTCTTCAAAGTGGAAACACAAAAACATCTTGGTTCTAAGTATTAGAATTGTATTATTTGAGGGAAAAAAATTTGAATTAGAACAAACAAACCTTTTATTTACGTATTAGCACAAAAAAATTACATGCAAATCCAAGAAGTGTTAAATCTGAAAAAGTAACTTTATTTTTTATCAGGTTGTTTTTAATGTCAGCCCTTTTTAATGTACTAGATAATAAATATTTTTGTTTTTAACACAAACACATTAAATATGTAAATATGTGTTATAAAAGGTTCTCGGTACATTGTATGCCAAGAGATGGCGCCACGAGAAACTTAGAAATTTAATCCCGTCATAAAATTTTGTATATATATACAAACTGTAAATGAAATATTAACCAATAACTGCTTTTTTTGTCCTTTTAATATTTTTATACGTTAGTACTCAGCCATATTTTTATTTTTCTGTCAAGAAAGTTGCTTTATATAACTTTCTGTATCAGATATTTTCTTACCTTTTATTTTTTACAGTTTCTTTTAAAAGAGGATCCAAGAAGAGTAAACTTATTAAAAATTATTATTAATTCGTTTCACTAGAAAGTTCAATTATTTTTAGAGCCACTAGATTGGAGCTTGCCCTGTCGTTAGAAAATCGTCGTAAAAATTGAACTTAAAATGAATAATAGTATTGGTAAAATAACATAAAAAATTGAATTGTGTGTGTCATAAGTTAAGATAGTTAAACCAGTTTTACTAAGTTACAACCATCTTTGTTAGGATTCAAGATCGACATCAATTCATAAAAGTCTGAATCGTAAAAAATGTTCCCCGGTAAGTCTTCGGATTTACAACGCTACAATTAGGGGTTCGATTCTCCTCGGTGAACACGGCAGATAGCCCGATGTGGCTTTGCTATAACAAAACACACATTCGTAAAGAAATCTCGTAATATGAGTACATAACCTACCACAAAAAAAAATATTAATAACAATAAACAAAGACAAAATTTGAAAAGTATGATTTGAAATTGTTTTCTGAAATAAACTTTAAAGAGAAAAAAATATCCAAAATAATAAGAAATAATTTAATTTCTTTTAAAAGAATGTTGGTAAACGGAAGGGCGAAATGTTCAAATTGTATTGGTTAATTTTACGTCACTTTCCCTTATTGCTCCTTGGACGCGGCCCTCTTGTAGACCTCTGGTTTTCAGGGCTGGTGAGGCGCGTTTAAATTCATGCAATAACAAAATACCATTTTAAGCTGTGGGTGCGTTCTAAGAATGACAGTTAATCTATTAGATTGGGTGGAAGGATGCTGCTGACTGACTGCCTGCCCCTTGGTCAGTATCTCAAAATAGAGGGGCAAATAGTCTTAGTAAGTTTTCCATACAAACACTGACGCTTCAATCGTGTGGAGTCTTTTATTTTATTTTTTTTTCACCTTCGTGATAATTTTGATTTAGAGCATGTTTGTTATTCTTCATAAAAGTCAAGCGATTCGTTATTTTTATTTTACCTTCTGTTATTTTCGAAAGTTTGAACCCATAAAACAATATTTTCGTAACGTTCCGTTATGTGAAATTGTTTTTTTTTTCTTCTCCTTATAGATGAAGGCCAAAAATTTTGAGAGGGTTGAAAAGGTAAGTCCAAAAATCAAAACAATTCCCACCGACTCTTATTTGATTTAACAGTTAATCATTTAGCAGCATAAAAAAATTCAAGATTATAGAAAAAGAAACGGCAAATGAAGTTTCGTTTGTGAAACGTATTCACAAAATGCTTCTACGTCATCACTTATTGACCAGTACAAAGCTTAAAAATTAATTCTCGGTATATATATATATATATTATAATTACCTTGACATAACACCAAATATGATCTCCATTTAACAAAGAAAAACGTGTGATATTTCCCATAATTCTTGGTACTTAATTGTGTAATATTTTAAAACTTGAACTTAATATTTTGTTATTAAACCTAAGGAAAAATGTTTTTTCTTTTCCCCCAATTATTGAAGAGTGTGTTAGTTAACCCGCCAATTACTTTAATGCAACTTGTTATTGTTTACAAAGTTTTCCAAGCTGTTGATAAGTAGCGCTAGGAACGACTGATTTTTAAATGACTTTTACGTTGATGTATATATGTATATGTACGTTTTAGAGCTGCCTATGTTTTCTAGGACGCGTCTTTTAAGGCATATCAGTTTTAAAATATCAACCGTTTAAAGTAGTAAACGTCAATTTATTTTCCGCGATATTCCCACGATGTTCCGTTTTATTGGAATGTTATTGAGATGATAAGAATATAGAGAGATGTAACTTGAAATATATATATCAAATATATATAGTGGTAGTCACAAAGTTCGAAGTCGTCGTGCTCGGAAGGACGGACGAATAAATGTTCTAATGTGCTTTCCTACTGTCGAAAAGTTTCTCACAAAACGGCTTCCTTCATCGCTGGGTTATCATATCAGTTTATTCAAAACTGCCTCCTTAGTCGCTTGTTTGTTTGTAATTAAGCACAATGCATTATCTGCGCTCTGCCCACCACGGGTATCGAAACCCGGATTCTAGCGTTGTACGTCCGCAGACATGCCGCTGGGGGGCGTCTCAGTCGCAGGGTTATCGTATTAGTTTCTACAAAACTGTATGTACGTACACATTTATCAATATCTGTATTATCACCACAGTTCGTTTTATTTCGTGTAATATTAGTGGGACAGATTGGAGATGAAAAGCTCCAAAAATCTCTAAAAATAAAACTTTAAGATCATTGAACTCAAAATTTTAAATGATGTTATTGATTGGAAAATGTAGTTTTTGTAGCGTGTGATGGCAGATAAAGTGAACATATATTAATAAGTATGTCTTATCAAAGAATTCGAGTTTGTTGGTTTTGACAGAAAATCGACGGCGTTCACTGATGAGCACAAAATTTTTTTTACTTATCCAAAAAAAAGATAGAAGACTGGAAATGCCTCGTGGCTACACCGACAATCGTCATGGCAACGTTTTTGTAGAATTAAAAAGAGTTCTTCGTCCAAAACAAGCGAACAGTTGGACAATAGGCTATTAGGGTTGTTTCCCAGACAGAGATCGAACACTGAATTCTAACAAGTTTCCGTGAAAAGATAAAGCGCAAAAATGTATACTAATATATTTCTTAAAAATGAGTCATCCAATCAGCGCCAGCCCTTGGGGTGGGCGACACGATTCTCCACACTGGGCGCCCACACCAAGGGGCGCCAAAATCGACATTGCAATTAGCAGTTCTTGTCCATCTTAAACGGGCAAGGGGACGGAATACAAAGTTCGCACAAGACACCATTTTGTCTAGGACTGGTTCTGCATCCAATTTTTGTTCAGGATACTAATGGTCACACGGTAGAGATTTTTTTTTTCTACACTCAAATAAATTCTGTATACTAGAGAAATCACAACGATTAAAGTTGTCATCTAAAAGAAAACGCATATTTCTTCTACTGAGGAGTCTTCTTAAAGGACCGACCATGGAGACCAATCACAAAGTTTTGATTTAAGAGCAATATCATGAGGCTGGTTGCAGTAACGTCTGATGAACCAGTCTTAGTACGGACTCTAATAATTCATACACCACCGAGTTACTTCTTTAAATGTTAGAGAAATTGTACTCTTATTACTGGCGTATAAACGAGGAGAACCAAGATCACTGTGTCCAACTCTATGAGAAAAGATGTCCTTCACATAGAACTGTAAGAACGATTAGAAAAAAAAAATCACAAGCTCACAATACACGAGTCTCAAGTTATACATGAACGTGACACATTCAACGAATTTATAAGGCACTGGTTGTCGGGAATCTCAGAGGGAGCCACCATCTAAAAAAATACGATCTGAGTACTCGGCCCTTTTGACTTCAGCGTGAGCTGTGTCATTTATGGTGGTAAGTGCTTGTAAATATACCCTAAGAATCCAAACAAATGGGTTGTTTAGTAGAGAATTGTGGGGGTACAATAACATATACTAGAAGTTGCAATGAAAGAGGAGATGACCAGGCATCAATATTTCAGTTGAGGCCTTGCTGAACTGTGAAAGTAAAACAGCGTATTCTAGAAGTTGCAATGAAAGAGGAGATGACCAGGCATCAATATTTCAGTTGAGGCCTTGCTGAACTGTGAAAGTAAAACAGCGTATTCTAGAAGTTATAATGAAAGAGGAGATGACCAGGATCAATATGTCAGTTGAGGCCTTGCTGGACTGCCAAAGTAAAACAGCGTATTCTAGAAGTTATAATGAAAGAAGAGATGACCAGGCATCAATATTTCAGTTGAGGCCTCGCTGAAATGTGAAAGTAAAACAGCGTATTCTAGAAGTTATAATGAAAGAGGAGATGACCAGGCATCTTTTCATTAGCCTTTTTTTAAATTTCCTGCTGCAAATGTTTTCCATTACAAGCATCTTTTTTTTTTTTTCAAATCCTTGCTTGAAATATTACCTTGATTGCTTCCTATTCAGCGTTTTTGATTCCATTTGATTGCGACTGTCTTTTGGGTATGAAGTAATTAATTCAAACTGGAGCACGAACTTAGACCATTCACAAACCCAAATTTCTTACAGCTAGCAAAATTTGGATTTTTATTTTTCTCGCAAAACGAAAATTCTTCATGGCATGGCACTCCAGAGCACTTGTCCCCAGACATTAAAACAGTTACCAATACATTTTTTTTCTCTTTGTTCCACCGTTGGTAAAACATGACGCTAAATCCAATCCACGTATCGATAACGAATTAGTTTATTTATTTAAAATTTATGCAGGATACGTTCCCTTTGACAAAAATTGTAGGCCTAAGTTCACTAACAACGTTACAACAGAAATTCCGAAATTAATAGTAACTACGCCTAAATTACAAATAAGTTACATACATGCTAATGATCGATTACCTGTATACTCGTGATAAGTCTTACTGGTAACACTGATCTGCAACATTCACTAATTACTCATTAACCTCTCGCTCACCATCGACTAATTAACTCACTGATTCCCATATTTGTAATCGTACCCGTTTTCTATACATTACACAAAGCTTTTCGATTATAACATCAACACGCTCTTTCCAGATGTATCGCATCGTCAACACCCAAATTAAAACATTGAAAACATAGCTTACAACAGTATAAATATTATAGTACATCTTTCTAATTTTTTGCTTAGACACCTATCACTACACACTACGTAATTTACTTTGAAACACTTTAAATAAATGTTCTACACATTAAAATTCTCATTTCTCTTGATAGCACCACAAAAAAGTATATTTCGATGCTTCTGACCTGTTACTGCCCCCCCCCCCCCAGTAGCTCAGTGGTGTGTCTGTGGACTTACAGCGCTAGAAACCACGTTTCGATACCCGTGGTGGGCAGAGCACAGATAGCCCATTGTGTTGCTTTGTGCTTAACTCAAACAAATAAATTGTCCTGCTAACTTATAACCCTAAGTAGAATTTTTCCTATTTATTGGCCACTGGTGGGACAGTGGTAAGTTTACGGACTTGCAACGCTAAATCCGGGGTTCGGTTCCCCGCGGTGGACACAGCAGATAGCCTAATGTGGCTTGGTTCTAGAAAACAAACAAGTAAAATGACCTAAATTTAAAACAAACTTTTGGCATTAAAATGAACTGTTCTACCATGCTCAGCTGGGCACCGGTCAAAATCTTAATCAGGTCACGAAAGAAGAAGCCAATACAGCAAAAACAACAAAATCTTTGTTATGCGCTTTTACGCTTTGCTTAGCCGACTATTAACAATCACCCAAAAAACCTTTCAGTTGTTCCAAATTTACGACAATACTTTTAGTAACACTTGTGAGCACTTTTAAAGTGGAGGATGAAGCAATAATTTCAACCAATTATTGAAGTTGAACAAAATTTTGCGTTATTTTTCAAGCTTCTTATCCCCTGGATTACGGACTTACAATGCTAAAATCTGGGGTTCGATTCTCTGCGGCGGACATTGTGTAGCTTTCAGAACCGGTCCTAGGCAAAACTGTGGCCCGTGCGAAATTTATATTCGGCGCCCCTGCCCCCTGTAAAATGACAAGAACTGCTGATTGCAATGTCGATTTTGGCGCCCCTTGGGGTGGGCGTCCTGTGCAAGGGTAAACGAAACGTCGCCCACCAAGCTTCGTTCTTGCTAGTCAGTTTGCTATTTTAGACATACATTAAACTTTGTCGTCTTTTCAAGTGACTTACTTTTCGAAAGTACCACCAGATGTCGCGGGTCTCAGGAAATCTGTCTCGCGTCAATAACTCGCATCATGCATATATTTATTTGTGTTTCTATAACTATATCTTTATGTCACATCTCTGTTAGTAAAGTAAGTTGTGACAGTTTATAAACGAAAATCCAGTTAACTGTAATAATTCGTCATTTTCCAAGGAAGCTAGATCAGGTTTTCTATTTTAACAGCTTTTTCAACGATGCCTTATAAAAGTTCTCAACATTGACTTGTGGCGGTGTTACCTGAATTACGTCAAAGAAACTAAAGGAAGTCTACCTTCTTACAGGTGAGAAAATAAATAAAACTGTTCCTCACTTTGGGACTTGAATAATGGTTACAATGTTAGGGTCACTGTCAATTTTCGACTTTAACATGCGAAAATAAGTCTTTCAAAATTAGCTAAAAACTATTGTCCAATCACCTTAAAAATTTGTAAGATAAAATTAAAATTAAGACAGTCTGATTTCGCCTTTTCTAAGAACCACTAGAGGGCGTTACTGCAGAAATTTCCAAGAAAAACACTATTTGAGTTATACTTTTCTAAGAACCACAAGAGGGCGCTACTGTAGAAATTTACAAGAAAAACTCCTAACTGAGTTATCCTTTTCTAAGGACCACAAGAGGGCGCTACTGCAGAAAATGTCCAAGATTATTCTTAATTACCTGAATGATATTTTTATTTAAAACTTGAAGTATGTTGATAAAAAAAATTTAAGGGATTAACTTCTCACTACGGGGCGATAACAACAAAATCACTGCTTTTCCAGATAATTATTAATGACGTTAGTTGAAAACTACTTGTTTGTAATCTAGCCAAGAAGCTGACGACCAAAGCATTCATAATGTGGTAAGTAAAACAACGATTAGATTATTTTATAATAAAGGTTGATCTTCAGAGACTTTTGTTACCGACTATAACACGGTTTTAATCACTCGGAAAGAATTATCGGGAGAGACAGGATCAGCGTACGAAATGTTCTATATTTATCGTGAAGGAATATTAGATCATTCTATGAATCTACCTAGTTGCTCTATCAACTGACTGCCACTCTTATAATCCACTTACAGCTGAAAGTGGGAGTAATATTTTGTAATATCATATAGATCTGAACTTGGCTCGCCAGCTCTGAAATCCAGAGCTCTTCCCCAGAGGGCCTAACCATGCCCCTACAGGTAGAGCTTTCCCACAGGGTTGAACTAGGCCCCTACAGACAAGTTCAGCTGCTACATAGTGAGTACATTTGATGTTAAGCTAATTCAAAACACAGTTTCAGGTATGAAACCTACTATACACAACTAATCATGGAAAATGAAAAAAAAAAAATTTCGTGAAGATTTTTACAAGTTGCAACACACAAATATAATAACATTGTAAAATAATTACCTATACAAACTTTGAGTTAAGTATTTTACCACAAGATTTAAAGGTTTGTTTGTTTATTTTTGAATTTCGCACAAAGCTACACGAGGGCTATCTGCGCTAGCCGTCCCTAATTTAGCAGTGTAAGACTAGAGGGAAGGCAGCTAGTCATCACCACCCACCGCCAACTCTTGGCCTACTCTTTTACCAACGAATAGTGGGATTGATCGTCACATTATAACGCCCCCACGGCTGAAGGGGCGAGCATGTTTGGTGTGACGGGGATTCGAACCCGCGAGTCGAGTGTCCTAACCACCTGGCCATGCCGGGCCAGAATTAAAGGTAAAGCGTACACTTAGTAAAATTTTTTTATATGCTTACTAGATAAAACACACAATTGTAATTGTTTAAAATTGGATTAAGTTGATCAAACGCCGAAGTTGACACTATTGGCTCCTTAGCATGAGTGGTAGGGTGCTACTGACTGGCATCTTTCCCTCTGATTAATAGTTTAGAATTTGGGATAGTAGTAATAAGTCTTAGTAGTTTTGGCCTAAACACAAAATACAAATACTTAATTATAGTAGTTTGAATGTTATAATAACTTGATTATAGTAGTTTGAATGTTATAGTGACTTGATTATCGTAGTTTGAATGTTATAGTAACTTGATTATCGTAGTTTGAATGTTATAGTAACTTGATTATCGTAGTTTGAATGTTATAGTAACTTGATTATAGTAGTTTGAATGTTATAGTAACTTGATTATAGTAGTTTGAATGTTATAGGTTATAGTAGTTTGAATGTTATAGATTATAGTAGTTTGAATGTTATAGTAATGCAGCTGGTTTATTTTTCAGAGAGAAAATGGCTCAAGCCTACGACTTTGCTCTGGACAAGATGGGGATGGATATTTTATCGTATCCCATCTGGAATGATTATATAACTTTCCTTAAAAGTGTGTAAGTATTACTTTCAAGTCACCATTTCTTGGACAACCTTGTGTGTCTCGGGTGTGATCTATATAATTTCAACGCTCTGATAAAAACGCTTTTTTTTTCAGTCACTTTATTTTCTTTTTGAGTAGTTACTTGTTATGACTTTTAATTTCTTCTCCCCTGTTCAGTAATTTTGTATAATATTAGATTAGTTTGATATAAAATAAAATTAGCATATAATACATACCTCTTCAGCAAGAGATGAATTTGACGTATACTTGTGACTGGACAGGGAGATGTACATTTGTGACTAGATGGGGTGATGTATACTTGTGACTAGTCAGGGAGACGTATACTTGTGACTAGACAGGGTGATGTATACTTGTGACTAGACAGGGAGATTTATACTTGTAACTAGTCAGTGAGACGTATACTAGACAGGGAGACGTATACTTGTGACTAGATGGGGTGGAGTATACTTGTGACTAGATGGGGTGGAGTATACTTGTGACTAGATGGGGTGAAGTATACTTGTGACTAGATGGGGTGAAGTATACTGGTGACTAGTCAGGGTGATGTATACTTGTGACTAGACAGGGTGATGTATACTTGTGACTAGATGGGGTGAAATATACTTGTGACTAGTCAGGGAG